TGGAAGACTGCTACCTAGCTAACACTGGAAGAAATCCACATTTGTTCCCATTTCAAAGAGGGGTGATCCAACAGAATGCGGAAACTGTCAAGTAATATCATTAATATCACCCACATAAAAAAGTTGCTGAAGATACTTCAAAAATGGTAGCAGCAGTGCATCAACAGTGACTGAAACTCAAGCTGGATTCAAAAGAGGATGTGGAATGAGGTATATCATTGCTGATGTCAGCTGGATCTTGGCTGAAAGCAGAGAACACCAGTGTTTACCTCTGTTTTACTGGCTGTGCAAAGACAGTGGGTCATAGTAAATTATGGATAACATTATAAAGTATGTGAATTCCAGAAGACTTAATGTCCTCCTGAGGAACTTCTACACAGAGTAAGAGGCAGTTATTCAAACAGAAGAAAGCAATACTGTCACTTGCTAGGTGCTATTGAGTTGTCTCCAACTCATAGTGACCTCATACACAGCAGAACGAAGCACTGCCTGGTCCTGCTATCCCTAAGCCCATTGCTGCAGCCACTGTTTTGGAGACATCTTTGCCCTTCAGCACTTGAAAGAGCTCTTTTGCAGCAGATTTGCCCAATTCGATATGTCTTGTGATGTCCTGACTGCTGCTTCCATTGGTGTTGATTGCAGGACCAGGTAATATGAAGTCTTTGACAAGTTCAATCTTTTCTCCATTGATTGTGATGCTGCTTATTGGTCCAGTTGTGAGGATTTTTGTTTTCTTTATATTGAGATGTCTATACCACAGACTGTATTCTTCAATTTTCATCAGTAAGTGCTTCAAGTCATCCTCACTTTCAGCAAGCAAAGTTGTGTCATCTGTGTGTCACAGGTTGTTAATGAGTCTTCCTCCAATCCTGATGTTCTTCCTCATATAGTCCAGCTTTTTGGATTGTTTTCTCAGCATACAGATTGAATAAGTATCAGGAAAGGATACAACCCTTCCTGATTTTAAACCATGCAATATCTCTTTGTTCTGTCCATAACAAGGCCTCCTGGTCTATGTACAGGTTCCTCATGAGTACAATTAAGTGTTCTGGAATCCCCATTCTTCTCAATGTTATACACAATTTGTTATGATCTGCACAATCAAATACTTTTTGCATAGTCAATAAAACACAAGTAAACATCTTCCTGGTATTCTTTGCTTTGAGCCAAGATCCATCTGACATCAGCTATGATATCCCTTGTTTCACATCCCCTTCTGAATCCAACTTACATTTCTGGAAGTTCTCTGTCAATATACTGCTGCAAC